TAATTCACCTCTTTTATTTTTCAAATATCGTCTGTACACAGTTTATCGAAGCCGACATTGAAGTTTTCCTTTTGTGTCATAAGATGCGGCCTTAAACTGCACGGACCAGTAGAGGAGAATGAAAAGAGCAACTACAGTGAAAACATCATGGACATTTCAGCGAGTTTGTCATCTAGTCAAAAATAACCATTTCAAGTAGAATTCTAGAGAAAATATGGGTCTACTTCTCCGAATTTAAACTTTCTACGGCGATAATTAGCAGACCTAAATTAATAACTGAATACATTTGAACTATAAGTTAAAAACTACAATAAGTTCAAATGTTCGCAACTTTAAGTTTGCCCTAGAAAATAGAAACCCGATAGCATGGAAAATGAGCAATAAACGGGGATATATACAATACACTATTATGTAAATTCCCGATCGAAACTGACAAGGCAACTATCCTGAGACGTAGTGACTAGAACATTGAACTTCTAGCCAATAAGGTCAGAGGCTCCAGCCTCTGAGGTTGCGACACCCGAGTTTAGGTATGGTTGGCTGATGACGACTAATAAGCCAGAAAATGCCGTTCCAATCTCTGTTGATTTAGTTTTTAATCTATTTCTGCCCATAGTATCTACTATATTATACTATACGTTACTGTTTACTATAGTATATACTATGTATATGTAGTGTCCACTGACCTAGCTGCTACTCATCTGGAAATAAAATATGCAGAACGAATGTTAACAGAAAGAAGTTGATGATACTTCATGTAAAGTTGACTGCTTTTGACACTAACTTATATTGGATTAAATACTGCAGATATAGTTAGTTGCTACCGAAGTCCTAGAAAGGACCAGATTGTGATAGATGGAGGAAGACCCAATGTTAAATCTAGTAGTAAGTGTAACATGGGGAAGGAAAGTTATCAAAGTCATACCGAATAACACAAGAGACGGATTAAGAAGTCACTACTTCCCAGCCGACTTAGAATAAAATTATTAACTGGTCGAACCGAATTAATACTCACGACAAATCCATTCTTGTTTAGTTCACTGAATTTCGACGCCAGGCATAATTCGACAACATGGCTGTAGTAGGTCGGTTCGGCTGATTGTGACATATTCGTACGCAAATTTCTATGCGATACTCACTTCCTGTGGTGCTTTTTGAAGCAAATAACTTTTTATGCAAGGATCGGTAGCCAATTTTAAACTACCTGCAACAAGAAAGCCCGTTTGGGAAGTAGTTGCTGGTTTAAAACGAAAGGAAATGCAAGTCATGAAGGAAACTTGGAAGACATTAAACTTTACTGAAACAGGACAGAGTCGTGCAAGTCTGTCCCGGCCTTTTGTCAAAAGCTCTACTATATTTTCTAGCGGTGCCAGACCAACCGACCGAAAATTCTCCTTAAAAGCATACTATGGATCTTATAAATCCAATCTTCATGTTGCCCTTTTCTGCACTTAAACCATCTGATCTAAGAGGTCACCACCAGCTGATTCCCATCAGGAGCAGTGAGGCCACGTCAAATTCCTTTACTCCACAGCAGCCATATTCTAGCTCATTTGTGAATAAGTCAGGGTTTATAATATTGAAACCACACATCAACGTCTTAATCTAAGGCTTATTTCAGTCTAATTAGTGAAATACTTCAAACCCAGTTTACGATCGCTTGAATGAAAATTTGAAGAAAAAAATGCACGAATTTCTATCCAACAGCTAAACTAGTAATCAGACACAAAAGAAGCCCAACGAAACCAGCGGCTTCAACCAGGCTATATCCCTGAAGTCATCTAATGGACCGTATTGCGCTTTGCAAACAGTAAAAAACGCCAAGCACTCCGAACTAGGGAGTGCGTTCGCTTGGCTTAATAGCATATCAAGGGCAGGGTTTAAAGAAACCAAGGAATTGCGACGAAACCCCTTTCCCAAAACTAAGCACAGCCAAAAAAGCTCTCCGAATATCATATTTTCAATACTAGGCATCTTATTGACCAGTTACAATGTCCACATATTGCAGTAGAAAGATGAAGATCCTCATGTTGTTTTGAGGGATACAAGCAATCTAATGTCACTCAGGGATGCCAGAGATGTGGAGCGGACTCAGCTTTTCTACTGTTTTTGGCCTACTGTCATGCTAGCCCTTCGAGTCCTAAAGATGACCCAAATTTTCAAAGCAAAAGAAGAAATTTCTGCCATCTAATGCATTCAGCGGTCCTAAAAACAGGACACCGAGAAAATCGCTGCAATAACTTATGATGGCTGCAGTATCTAGGGCGTGGACGACACCACCCGAGCCTGAGTTTATTCCTTCCGCATAGCAAAAGTGTGAAAGGAATCTCTCAAGTCAAGACTGACACGGCAGAGGGTATACGCCGACGCAATCTGTGGGGGGAAACGTGCAAAACCGCATTTTTCTGGCTGAAGGACAAGGCGGGGGTGGAGGGAGAGGAGATTGAAGGTTTCCCATGAGCCGATGTGTCCTTTTTGGCCAGCTGTTCTGCAGTCGAGGGGGGGGAGGGAAGGGGGGGTGAAAGCGGAGACATGAACAGCGCCATGGAGCTGTAGGAGTCGTAGATACACGCTACCTACGGCTAACGGGGATGTTGTGAGAGACTGGTATACGCAGGAAAAATGCAGCCTCAGTACAGCTGTGGGTGTAGTCAATGGTCCACCTCCATCATCAGCCACTCTCTCCCTCTCTCGCGCGTACCCTCAATTCGCACTCGAGTGCTGGAATTATGAAAGACAAACCGGTGTTCCACCGCTACCCGTGGCCTTCCCCCATCTAAATTCCCAAACAGCAGTGTGCAGACGAGGTGGCTCGCTTGATCTGCAGATCATGCGACAACAGACATGTGTTCATTCACGCAAAAACACGAAGTCAAAACATGCCCCGGCCAATTCATGGCATGGCTTGACTGCGTAATGTCAGTCGGGTGGCGCTTGTGCGCACATAGTCCTGCAAAAGCTAGCCAGAGGGGGGGTTAACATCGAATAAAACACACCGTTGTCGGGCTATAACGAATGCTTTGCGTTATACAGAGAACGGTTGCTAGCTCATTACCTATTTAACATGTTCTGAATTACTAGGCGAGGCTTTGGCTTCTGTACATTCCTCAGGGTATAGAAAATAGAAATGAAAATACGGTGTTACTCGGAGCACAGATGACTGCTTGAGTGAGGCATACAGTGAAACTTTGAAATAAGCCTCTAATACGTCTCGAAGAATGTTGTCAAACAGACCGCCCCGATAGCACGTCATTATACACTGGAATCGAAAGTTCTCAGACTTGTGCGACGGGAGTATTTACAAAGTACCACAATTGTAGGATGACAATTGAACACTACATACATTTCAGTTATGCTAATTAGTGCTTTTTATATTTATCTTTAAGTCGTCGACTTAGGACTCCCCACTATTACCGATTCAAACTTTTTAAGAAAGAGTTATTGTTGTTTACGAGTGATCAAGAATACCTCAGCTTTTTAGGAAATACACACAAGAGCAAGAAAACGGTACTATGATGGAACACTTAATCACAAAAAAATTGCAATAGTCAAGAAAAGAATGATAATTATCAGTACAAGAAATGCATACCCTATTTTTACGGATTTATTTGAAAGTGTGGTCAGCTTGTTTTTATGAAAGATAATTATGGAGTATAGACACGAATCAAGGCTTTGCTAAAATAAAATCCCACTGTTAATGGGATTTAAGTTTTGGGAACCGACTGAACGTTTGCGACTGCCTGAGAATGAGCGAGCTTTCCCTGTCACATTTGCCTAAGGGTCTCTGAAAGGATTTGGTTATTGAATAGGCTAAAGAAGTATTAAGTGACATACGGTTGCTGATATACACGTGGATAAATACTTCTATGATTAATTAGTGCTTAACAGGCATCTGCAGTAATTTTGTGGGAAATAACTACTAGAAGGCAAGACTTTGTTTACCGAACACAGAAAACCCATCACTAGTGTGTTGGGTGTTACTTGCCATGGGAAGTTGTCTTACACTCTCATCATAGGAATTAACTACGCAAAACGTTTTTACTTTCGAGCGCATCCAGGTGCATTAACGATATTTCATTCACTATCTAAACAAACGCATTACGCAAATTTGTGATATTTAGTTAGTTTCAGGATATCAGTGAACCCAATTGGACTCACGTTCCGAATTAATTGAGTGCTCCGAATAGTGTTTTCGATCGAAACTGGCACTTAGATTATGCACGGAGGCGCTTTCAGTATGAGTAACTTAGGTTTAAGGTATTATGGGGCTTTAAAACCTGTACTTCCTTCTTTAGTTTTCCATTTTGTGGAGGAAATATATGTCATAAGTAAGTCTTCATGAGAAAAAGTAAACAGTGTGTTGCAGTCTCAGCAAAATTTATTTGAAATTTCGAGTTAAAAAATAGACTGTAAGTTCCAACTATCAGAGAGTTGTATTTAGAAGTAAAAGCAATGCTTGTCAAAACGCGATGGTTTTAGATTGGACAATAAGATTTCAAATTCTGATAAACATATATTGCTTTGTTTGCTGTGATTCATTTTGTCTCGCTTTTAAGACAATGGTTATACACAATAGACTGCCCATGTATCAATTTTTTTCTTACCAGGTTTCTCACTCTTTTCGGGCTTTCCACCGTTAGTTTGTTAAGGCATGGTTAAAATAAATAACGAGGATGTGAAACACTAAGTCCTGGCTGCAACCATACTCCCAGATTCTCGTTATGTTAAGTAGGTCAACGGTTCGATCGTTTAAGAATAAGTTTCTTAAAATGTCTTCCTGGAGGCGATTCCCAGAAGGGACGAATCGGACATCGCTGCTCAAGTTATATACACATTCTAGAATGTGCCTATAAAGCGCTTAGCCCAGGCAAATATAGGCGAATGAGATCTTCGAAAATGCGCATACAACCTTGTTTATTGGCGAGTTTCAACGTTAAACCGTGGGAATATCGACATTAGGAGACCCATAAATGTGCCATATCATTTTACTACGATTGGATAAAATAATATTTAAAAATAAAGCAAGCAGCAAGTCCATTAAAGTAAGATAAAGCAACCCACTATAAGTATAAAAACAATTAGAGTAATAGGTATAACCAATTTTTTACGTAACACAATTATTCCCCCCAAAAAGCGAAAAATAATCGAAGGAAAGTAAACCCTCGTTGTCGGCAAATATTTACGTTTTCACCCTGATTCAGTAAATAAGCAGGATTTTGAGACTATATGCAATAATTCAAGAAATGTAAATACTTGCCATCTGGCTCATCTACGTGAAGGAAGACGAAATCCTCCTCGACCTCCAAGACGTTAAAGAACTGTAACAAAAAAATAATTAGTCTGGCAGGGAAATCCAGACCGCAAACCTTGAATAATTTGAGAAACCTTAAAAATATATCCACAACACTACGCTTTTGAAAAGCAAGGTCAGTAACGCATGACTTGTAAAAATACATACATTTGTACCTTCATTAGTTTCAGTAATTCTAAATTAATACGTATTCAAACAGTAATTTCACAGAAGCAGTACACATCAGTGTTAAGTTGAATCTGTTTTAACGAGTTCGAAGCAAGTCCTTGAAACCGTATTGGCAAAATATCGTGGTGAAATTTCCTAGTCATTTTAGATTAGTAGTGGGCGTTTCTTTTCCAAATACGTAACCTAAATATGTGGTACTAAAAACATGTGGTTCGAGGAAAATCAAAGCTAACAGTGGGAATACTTACTCGTTCCGGTGCAACCGTTGGGAGGTAAACACGTTTGAACGACAGGCCACCGTCATCGGAAACACTTAGTTGCACTTTGGACTCATCTTCGTCAAAATGCATCGCATAAAGAAATCTTCCCAGTTTTGGCTGACCTTCCTGACCCGGAGCCGCAAATTCGTCGTTTTGCATACTTTCCGGTACCCACATTTTCCTCACTTTACTTAGTATGGGCTTCCATGACCGACCGCAATTAACAGATTTCGAGAGTGTCAGGAAATCCTTGTCAGTTTTGGCTTAAAATAAAAGCGATCCGCAACAAATAAATTCGTCACTTCATAAAAGGTCAGTAATGGGACCAAAAACTAGTAAAATAACATTTACGTATATCGGTAAATTTAGTGCACAGGTTTTCAAAGAAAACCATGTTAATGGTTATTTTTATAAACAATACAGTGATTAAAACTACTGAATATTATTGATTGCCATGCAATGATAAAATAAAATAAAAAACAAGGGTCACTTCTGGAGGTGTATGTCTGCATTAATGCAAGTGATGAATTACTATACTTAATTTACGTATGCTTGCAAACTGCTCTTCTGAATTCTTTATAACTTCTTTAATAGTCAACAAAACGACCGGATCACCAAATGAATTCATCAAAAGAGTACAAATTCAATCAACTGCAAACATACATTTCCCAGATGTCTTTCCATGGAGAGCATAGATCGTTTCTGGATCATCCACCGAAAATCCGGACCTTTAAGTAATTATCAGACTCGAAAATATCTAACCATGTAAAATCATGAACATCATGAAGAGCAAGTCGCCAATTTTTTCCGCCATCTTCAGATACGTAAAGCGTCTAGACTTTAAAGGAACATAATTAAACATACTTGTGTCCTTTTTTCTAGCGTAAGAATGTTGTCCGAATCAGGGTCTCGCGCGGAAAACTTCAGTTTTCCACTCAAAATAAAGTCCACCTTCGCTTTTTCCCAGGTTTCACCGGCATCCGATGTGGAAAACATAACGGAGGCATTTTTATTGGCTTCGTCTTGGCATATTACATAAATCTTTACATCTAAATTCTATCACCATATCCACATGATACATACTTTTCGAGTTTTTTGCAAAGTTTTCCTGGTTTGAAGACCATTCTCCCTCTTAATGTATATTTTTTCACCAAGGTTTTGAGTGATTTTCTGAAACGACTTCCCATTGTCAATGCTAAATTTTGCATTTTTAAGCCACTGTCTTACCTTCTATATATGTCCGAGGGCTGACCAAGTCCGAAATCACCTTCCGTCATAGTAACCAAGATAATTATCTTCAGAAAAATGAACGCATAAATCCACATACCCCCATCGCATCACCAGCCCATGTCAGTTGAATAGTTTCCTTTGTGTCATTTTTGAAGTAAAACTACGCGATTATTTCAGGAAAATTCTTACGAAATCAACAGCAGATCTTCCGTTTAAAATAGGCCGCAGCTGCTCTTCCTGCGATTGGCAATTTTTCGGTTTGGCTACTATCACGTTTACAAGTAAATAAAAAACGGCGATCTGGCGAAAGATCATCCCATGAGGCATAGTTAAGACGAATCTGAAGACACGATCATACACCCGCTATTTTTGCAAGGCTATGTTCTCTCAATTACCAGTTAAAACAAGCTCCAAGGCGCTGCCTTTCGACAAGGCCAAGTTGCATCTAGAATTCATAATCACTTTGATCTCTTCTAGAGAAGCTTCCGTAAAAAATTCTGTGCGTATACTGTTAATTTCCACCACCAGTCCGTAGAAGGTTTAATAAAATGAACCGTATTCCATGTCCGCTTTAACGCCCATTTTATAGTGGCAGACACTAATGTCGTAAGATGTGGAATTTGGAGAGAGACATTTTGCCGTTCTTCATGTTATAATGATGAGCATGGTGCAAAGGTCTGAATGCTAGAGAATCGCGGACTACGCTACACTCAGGGCCTTAAGTGGAAAGCATTTCAAAAGAATATGGTTACTTAGGATTGTGAAGGGATGCAGGGGATGTTGCCTCCAAAGGCCCCTGCTGCATAGCCGCGGCTCATCCTGTTCGAATGGCACTGGAGAAACCTCGACTAGCTAAGCACGCGTATATGTGCGTGTGTGCGCATGTAAGTGTGGTACTGAATAGCGGTCAGATGGTCTTTATGTCAGCGAGTGGAAAAACAGCCGCCTGCGACGACAGAACTTTGACGCAG